AGTGCGCACACTTCACACTTCCACTTCCCATCATCAGCCAGCAAGCTCCCAAATCCTTCAGTCGACATGCTCTCATCCAGATCTGAGGTGGGGAAGGCCGGCAAAGGGCATTCGTCCCATGCATCTTCATCCATCGCCGACGGTGCTTCTACCAGACTAAAAGTTAAGAAAACTTCGCTGTTAGCTGGGTCACCTGAAGAGCTTCCACTGCTACCTGTGTGTTTCAATAACCTCATCACAAGACCGGTCGGATTGGCATGTGTGGCTAAAAAAATGCTCATATACCCCTAGGTCATCTTATGTCCAAACAACTTTCTGCCTATGCAATAAGCCTTCTTCGACATGGCAGGCGGTGGGAGTCGCTATGAATCGGTGACAGGACCCCCATGCTCACGTGCTCACACACAGACTGCTCCCCTCCCGGGTTCCCTCAACCTCCCAATGGTTTTCCTCATCACTCATTGGGCCTCAACCCGCCCGACCCGTTTCAAGGACCAAAGGCTCAAAGCACTCGTATCGACCGGTGGAGCACCACAGACGTTGGCCGCTGGGCCGGACTCGCATCGTCGTTCGAAGGGGGACGGACTGGCATCGTCGAAACGTCCCACGGCCCGGGCTCGAAGAAACAAGCCAACCTGGCGGAAAGCAGCAACAAGTGCCAGTTCCCAACCAATTATGACATGTTCAATGTCCTCTCCGCCGAACTTTAGGCAAACTTTGGGTAGGAAAATGGGCATCGGGTCTGGCACGGGAGATCTTTTCGCCAAACTCATTGGTCCAAAGCGCACGCAGTGAGGCAAAAGCACCAAGCGGGGGGCCACAATTGGAAAAAAAGAATGCAATAGTCAATAATCATAAATCATCATTTTGTTACCTCTAGACTTCAAGACTCGGGCTCTGCCAGGGGCCCTTGCCCCTCCTCAAGGAGATACAGTCTATCTGGGATCGATTTCGTTTACCGAGCTGCTCGGCCCGCTCGGTGCTTTCTCGCGCTCACGGAATCGTGCACAAACACCACACACCGACACGTGCCACACACCGGACACGTGATTCACGCGGGTGTCATCACACCGAAAAAAGGGCAGGTATTCTGCGGATGCATTCATCCAGCACTCCAGCTTCTCTACCGGATGGGCCCACAGAGGCTCGCACGACTGCGCGGAAAGACTGGGCAACACCCTGTGGGAACCTTCTGCGCCAGCGAAAACACAAAGCTGGGGGTCACAGTAGAAAGAATGGGCGGCCCGGCTAACCATATCCCAAGTTATCCCGGCAAGAGACCCCAAACAGTGTGTTTGAGGCCTAGAGGTGTGGCAGCAGAAAGTCTGAAGATCTAGAGGCATTGGGGCTCAGAGAGGTGGTGGTGGTGATGGTAGTGCTGGTGGTGCTGGCGATTCGTGGTGGTCGTGGTGGATGGGGGCTCACAAGCTGGGAAAGGTCAACTAAGTACTGCACCTGCCACAAAATTTGCACTTCAAGGTCCGCAAAGAACTGCACCTGCACCTGCCACCGTTTCTGAAAACGAACCACATGTCCAAAAAGTCACGATTCACTGCACCTGCCACGAAATCAGAGCATGCCGAAGACCACCACCATGTCCCAAGTGCTTCGCCTGCCACAATATCTGCGCATCGGCATCAAACTGCTCCGATCTCCTGCACCTGTCGCGAAAAGTCGACTTTGGACCACCAAAACATGAGGTTTCCCTTGCGCCTGCCATGAAAAGTGATGACAAAGTCCAAAAATGTGCACGGCACTACAACGAGAGCGCGCACCTCCGTCAAGCACCATCCCAGGGCCAGCGTTTCGCGCGACCTTGCGCAAAGAAATTGCACCTTTACACCTGCCGTAAGAACCCCTCAGTGTGGACACACTGCTTAGGGAAAGAAGAACTTGAAGAATGAAATTCGGCATCTGTGGAGACCACAATCGCATCCATATGTTTACTAGCGAAGTCTCTATAACCAACGGTTTTTGATGGTTTTTGTATTTTTTGTCTATGTTCCTTCCTCCAAGGCGTCGCAATGCCCAGATATCATGCGATCATTCCATGCCTCGAATCCAGGCAACAAGGTTTTGAGTCAAAGGGCCTAGGGTCCCACATCATACCTCATGTTTTCCTCGCGACCTGCCTCGTGGGGGGCCATCCAAGAACCCGCACGGGCACGTGCCGCGTGGGCCGCGCTTTTGGGTGCCGCATCAGAGCCAACGTGCCGCCACACGCGTCCAGATGGCGGCGGCCAAGGGCGTCACCGCCACGGTCACGGGCACGCGCAGGGGCATCAAGGCCTGGCGCAGGCGGTCAGTGCGGATGATAATGGAGTGCCAAGCAGCGCTATGAAATGACGGGAATCGGATCGGAAGATGAAGGTCTTCAGGAGTGCCAACAAGCCGCGGAAAGGATCTCCAGAAAAAACCGCGCAGTCGTGTAAACGCAAGCTCCGATTCATCATTCAATGGAGATGCGTAGACACTGAGAAGTGCCACAGATTCTAACCCCCAGCCTTGTGGAGAACAAAGGCCATCACCATGCTACTTCCAGCACCCACGACCTGCGAATGCTCCGAGGGCTCCTGGAAAAACCAACCGCCGGGCCAGGCAAAGATTCACCCAAGTAGGCATACTGTATCTAGTTCACACGTGACATATATGTACATATTAATTATATTTATATATATATATATATGTGAATGTTTTGTTTATCACACATCCCATGGTATCTCTTGCTTGTGTTCCAACAACTATGCATCGTAGACCTGTATGAGGCTGTGCACGCTGCCGACCTCGGGCGTCCCGAAACGCGGTCTCCCGTCCTCGTGGCCTTTGCCGACCAGCTCCAGCAACTGCTCCACGTGCTCACCGTGGCGCACGGCCAAGTAGCAGGAAACGAGGGAGATGCTGGAGAGGCAGAAGTGCACCACCAAACCCACCTCGTGGCACTGCAAGGGGGCCCAAGCATCCTCGCTGGTGGTCTATAGCTCGAACTGCCGTCTGTTTGGTTGTACAGCTGTGCCCCCTCAAAGTGCCGGTACAAGGGAGTGTCGACCAGGTTTCGGACCAAGCTCATTTGACTTACAGCAGATGCTTTTGTTGGCTCTAAAGCGGTGAATAAATGGCGTTAGAATGCTTTAGAGGTGTTGAGGAAGATCGGGGAGTAGAGTTGGGGGGAGGTTTGGGGTTCGGAAAAGCCATCACCTTCCAAACCCATCAGGCCTGGCCATAGCGCATCAAGGTGTCCTGCAAACGCCGTGACATCCGGCTCCCACCCGGCGAAGGGACTGCCATGGCGACGTCACTGGATTGATGAAAGGCACGGCGAAGGGTGACAAGTTTTGATGTGTCTCACGTGTTGAAACATCTTCAAGGACCACACGTCTGGTGTTTTTATCTGCTACAAGTCTACAATCTACAAGTACTCAGGTGGTGACCCGTACTTGAGAAAACGTGGGAGTCATGAGTCATGTTGGAATGAAGCCGTAGTAAAGACGTGCTCAATGGGAACTTGAGGACATGATGTCAATGCCAATGCACGCACCATCCTGAAGGTCATTGAAAGGCACTTCGAGCCAGAGCCACAACACAAGAAGAACAAAAGAACCCACAATCCAAAAGTCTTCCCAGTGAAGCCGGCTCCAACCAACGCTCACGGCCGCAGACTCGGCTCTTTTGGGCGCCCCTTTTTCCGCTCGCGTCGTCGGTCGGCCGCGTGCCGCGGTCGATCCGTGGGTCCTGCGAAAGAGCAAGAATGACCAAGTGCCAACCAGTCAACTGGGCCAGCCTGCGCTTACTCAACTCACATCCGGATCTCCATCTCTTTCAAATCCATTAACATCAATGAGCTGAGTGGCGGGTTCTTAAATCATTTTGTGTCTATCACTTGAGGTCTCAGATACTATGTGCCCTTTATAGTAGGGTTTGCTTAGGTATCTCTTCGCCTTCTAAGCTCACTCACCGGAGAAAAGCCACCGGACCCCCTAAACCCTCACCCCAAACGCGTCGTGCGCCGCGGGGACGCGGTCCGTGGAGTGCTCCGGACCGTGGGGGATCACCGCTCCGGTCACCGAAGGTCAGCTCGGCCCTCCTGCCACAGAGGCCCGAAGGATTGGAGCGAAGCCGACTGCCAAGCTGATTGGAATGAACAAACCAGTTCTGAACGATTTCTGGGCGTGCGGAGCGTGCGGATGGCATGCCGGTGTGGTGCAATTCTCATGGTTCCGGCCTCTGTTGGTTTCATTTTCTCCACTGCAACCTTGATGGACTCCGCTTGCTCCGCCACCGTCGTCTTGGCAGAGTCAAAGATTAGAAGCGGCGTGGCCGAGTCCTTACCTGCAGCAGCGTTCGGCAGGTGAACCGCAGGTGACCCAAATGGAGTGGGGCGGCCACCTGCAACGAAAGCGGGCAAATGCCTCCTCCCTCATGCGCCCAATGACGGTCATTCCAAATTGGAACAGGAACATGTTCACTGAGTTGCTGCTCTGCCGCAAGACTTCTCCACGGCATCCAATGCAGGGCGCCCATACCTGCCACGTCCGGTCGGCCCTGATTGACCGATCCGGTCGCCCCGACCTGAGGAAAGCCGGCGACACAAACAGGTCAATGTAGTCCTTGGACGGAATCCATGGCACAGTCATTCCTTGACAGTCCTGTGAAATGGAACCGTGGTCTTCTCGAATGGGAGCACATCGGCATGTATGAAGGGACGCCATGTTGCTCCAAAAGGAAGACAACGTTTCGACACTGGTTTGCGGCCTACCATATCTATATACAATGCTGTACCATGCGCCACTCCTAGTCACCACGTTCCAAGTTTCAGAGCGTTCGAAAAAATGCACAGTCAGGCACACCTATGGATTGTTGAATGGCCCACGATGCTCACAATGCTCCAATTGCTGGTGACCTTCCCTCTTCCCATGGATGCTCTGCCCAAGCTTCTGCCAGTTCCTCTTCCTCCTTCTCCGGTCTCTTGCGCCGTTGTAAGCGCCGCGCCTTGCCTTGAAGCTGAAGTGGAGGGGACTTGGACACAAAAAATTGCCTTGAAGGAAAAAGAGTTTCCCTCTACCAAACAGGTGGCGAACTCCACTTCCATTACTTAAAGGAGGCGATGGACCAATACCAACCAGAAGGAAACTCCAAAGCATCGTTCAAACTGATGAGTTCTGGAGACCCATCACACAGAAGAAGCAGAGATGGAACCCTGGACTGCCCTGGACCCTTGGTTTTTGATGTAATGCTTTGTGCCCGTGGGTCACACCAAAACTTGCGCATGTCATGTGCGTTTCATCTTGCGCATGTCATCTAAACCCATCACACCGCAGCTCGAAATCGTGCATATCAGTAGGTCATGGGTTGTGCAGCGCCTATGACTCAAAATTTGGAAAGCTGACTCCAAAAGTCCAGTCCAACGATGGCAGCAAGCGCCAAGTGTGCAACAGCCTGTTCAAAGATTGGTTCCATCCTTCCGTAGTGTTGATCCAAGCCAGTGCAAACTCATCTCACCGACCCTCAAAAACCGTCACAGTTCCGGCCGACATGAGGCCGGCCACACAGGTCAGGTGGGCAGTGGAGAGATACCACCATGCTCGCGTGCGATGAAAGCTCCTCAACTTTGCTCAGTCTCACACCGCCACGCATCAGCAATCAAAAGGCGCAAACATTTATATAAATGAAGTGGTCCAACCACAACTGTTTGAGACTGAATGATGCTGGATTGGACCTGAGCCCGGAGCCTGGTCACCAGCTACCAAGTGCCCTTCCACGATGACCCAGTCCGAGGCTTTCAATGCTTCCAGCCTCATGCATGGCACCCTCGACACCTCCAATGTGGAGAGTTGAGGGAAAAAAAGAGAAACGTGTCCAAACATGCTGCGTCACCACATCTTCTGCTTCATAACTCAAGCCGCCAAGTCCCAGCACGTGTCACAGCGCAACCGTGGCCAGTTCACATGGTCTGGACCTTCAAAACTGTCGTCAACCTCGAGGCGGTGCCACAACACGGCCCCCAGTTGACTCAAAATACCTGACGCACATGACAGCAATCCACCTGAATGCCCCTCCGCCCGACAAAGGCTCAAACTCGGTCTTGGTATCCTCAGTTCAGGGTGTGATGTTGCATGATCCATTTCTGCAACTACCTTCGGCGCAAATGCAAGCGGACACATCATGTCCTTGCACCCAAGCGGCTGACAAATGCTTTAAGGAAATAGTTGTCTTGATGCAAAAGGGTGGCACCGATGGCCTCTCCAAGCCTTGGTTAGAGTCTTGCCTCGAGGGCGTATTCTTGTTGTGACGCCTTCTTTAATTTGCACCATGGACATGTACACGATTGATGGCCTGATAAAGGCTAGTGACTTAGTGTATCGCTACAATGCACGGTTCAACCTCATGGTGGGAATACGCCAAGCCACGTGGCTGCCAATGATGACTTGCCAGAACCTGATGCTCCACCTGAGTTTTCATGTTCAATACCGATTTCCAAAATTGAATCCATGAAGCATGAAAAATTGGATGCCAAGTCGCACAGCAAAATCAACTTGCCACATGCCATGTCAAACGCGCCGAAAACGCAAACATCAAGCACATGCGCGTTTTGTGCACACGTGTGTTTTGTTTATGGGATGATTCGTTCATTCTGGCGATGCGCGGGGCAAACCAAGGTTTGTTTGCACATCATATGTAGCTGTAGCTATTGCAACTTGAGCAACGGCGAATGTGAACGCCAACAAAAATGATCGGAACCAAGCGTTGCCTCGGAACTCGCATTTCCTTCCAAATACTTGACAAGGTGGCTGGACACCAAAAGACCGCAAGAGCACAAAGCCGCCAACTTGCTGCCGATGTTGGGGAACAGTTTAAAGAACAAACACAACCAGAGTCGCCCTTCATTCGTTGCAGAAAAAAGCACGCAAAAACCAATCTTCCGTTGGGGGGAAGGCTCCCCCTGTGTCCAGTCTCTGCACATGTCCCCGTCTTCACGTGCATTTCCTGCGTCCACATGCCCACGACAGCGCACACACACTCCGGATAAGGCCACTTGCCAACCGGCAGCCTGGATCAAAAATGTTCCTGTGTAAAGCATGTAGGGGAACTGGGCATCGTGAAGTCCAGGGTTACCTAAAAAAGCAACGCCAAAACTCAACTCCAACGAAGTTCCACCAAGGTTCAAGGTCCACGGTCAAATGACCGACAATGACTACGAAAACGTGCAGGATCTGCCGTCCGGCCGGCCTACCTCCACCTAAGCAGCCTGAAAGTTAGATTGGGATGCAACTACCCTTTGGTACCAAAAAGTGCTACACACACACATACAAAATACGTACTGAACTGAATGCCACTCGCCACACGCCAACCTAGGAAACAATATTCCTGAGAGATCATGAAAGGGGACCTCAGCATCACTAGCCTCTGCAGAAAACGGCGGTGGCAAACGTCAGCGCGGCGCAGCTGCGAAAAAGGGCTTAGGGGTAAGTATCGCGCAAGAACCATGGAATCAAAAAGTGGGACAGTGGAGTCACAGCGTGGGCAAAAGTTGCATCCGTGCAGGTACGTCGAAAGAGCGTCCTCTTTCGATATCCTAGTCAGAACCTGGAGCTTCGTTGGCTCACGCCATGAACAGACCCATGAGCCCCCTGCGCATACTCTTTGGGACAGAGTGTGACACACACAGAGCGCCGACATCGGCGCTCGGAAGGAAATTACTAACCACTTAAAAAGCCTTAGAAAGAAAGAACGAAGAAAAAGTGCGAAGCAAAATGACTCTTTTGTCACCGCTCGGGCCTATACACAACGGTACACTTCTTGATTTGTGTCGTGTCATCCCTGGGCGGGTGGAGTGCGCATGGATTCTGACACCCCCTCTCCGCTCAGGCATATTGTGCAAAAGCTGAGTTTTTCTGCCCTTGAAAACTGTGGGCATTGCTGGTGAAAATGACTGCGTTTCCCATACCGGCAAACTCTGTACTTCAGACTCCTCTGCATGAGTCCCTCACCGTGACCTGAGGCCAGTTGGCAATCTGCTAGTGCCATGTCCCGCTGTTGCCTTGTTTGTTGAACTGTTTGTTCCAGTTCTTCTATGTATAGGTCAAGTTGAAAGACCTTGTTCTGCAACTCGGTGCTCTCGGCCTCATAGCGGGGAAGGGTTCGCAGGTCAACCCGTGTGTCTGCCTGGGTTGCCTTCTCGTTCAAACCCTCTTCTTCATTCTTGTAATTCATGATCTTTATGATCGCTGCGCTGAAGGTGTCCCCGACGTAGTTCCATGTCATGTGGATCACCTTCATGAGCAGATAGTGCCGCAGCCACTCAATCAGACTCAAGGCCCCAACAGCTGCGCAGATCCACCAGATCCACTTCCAGCTGTCCCCTCTTCGTCGTTGGCCTCTCCCACTTGTGCACAGAGAGCAGCCAAATCAGGCCAACATGGAGGTTCTTATTCTTCAGCACCCTTTGCGTTCCTGTCCTCATTCGCTCACGGTGTTCAAATTCACGGAACTCTTCATGCCCGACTCGATCTCCTGCGCTGTTCACCATCTTCAGCATGTAGAGTAGACCGAACAGTCTATTCCTCGTCAGGCCTTTGGTGCCAATGTCAGCGGAGTTCAGCTCTGTTGGTATTGGGCTCACTGCAAGGATCTTTTCCTTCTCCTTTTGCTGGATCCATAGCAGGGCGGCGTCCAAATGTCTGACCCTGCCTACGCCTTGCCTTCGGACCATTGAGCGTGCTGCTGAGCTGTCCGACCTGACTCTCATCTCACATGGTTCTTCAACCAACTTCATCCAAAGGTGCTGAACAAGTAGTCCATCAGAGCACCCTCCAACCATGGAGATGACAGCCTCACCTGATGATAGTGAGATCGACTTCTGGGATCGGACTCTTGGCTCCATCAAATTTCCATCCAGCAGGATCTGGAATGACGATGTGCTCTTTCGATCATTTCTGTTCCCAGCATAGTCACTGTCGCACACCACCTCGAGCAAGTGCTTCTCCTTGTCACTGTCTGCCCTTTGGCTCTTGATGAAAGCCTTATTCCAAAGCCCTATGATCCTTGGAGGTAGGAACAGGCATGCCAAGCATTCTTCCATGCCTGCTTCGTTGGCTTGGCCATGAACTTCGCCAGGCTCTGGATGGCGAACTGGGCATCTGGCCTCTCTCCTGCAAGGTACATCAGGCGACCCACTACACTTCTATAGCGGGTGATGTCTTCACCTTGCAGTTCCTCACTTTCGTCCTTGCTGAAATCTTGCTTTGTGGGTGTCTTCCTGTAGGCCTTCTTGAAGATGTCCACGTCCTTTGCCAAACTCTCGTACTGCTTGTAGTCGCACCTGATGTCACACCAGTCATCGTATAGTACGAATTTTCGTTTCAAGCTGTGGAAGGTCTCACCACTGCGGAATGGGCCTTTCTCTCCAATTCCACTTCATCTTCTCTTTGAGGTAGTCCACGAAGGCTCTCAAGTTCTTCTCCTTTCCCACCATGAAGACATCATCAACATGTACTGTGATGTAGATTTTTTGTCTTCATCAGCAAGGTGGGTCGCATGACATCTTGCTCAAGCCCAAACTCTCGTCTTGCTGCCTTTGCAAACAGCTGAAACCATTGGGATGCTGGGATTCTTTGGCCTGGAAGGCATTTCACCAGCCTGTAGATGACGTTGTCCACATCCACATAGGCCTTTTCCCCTCTCGGTTGATCAGTCCCACTCCAGCTGCCACTGCCTCGGTGATTGCTTTTATTTCTTCCTCGGTGGTTTCATTCTCCAGCGTGGGCTGTCTATACCTCTGAGCTGAGCCACCATGCTTCATCATGATCATTTGTGGGGAATATGACCATGGCAATTTTTTGGCAATGATCATGTCTGTGCCATTGAACGAATCCTTCACTGCCAACCTCCTGATGGTTCTTGCTTCGAAAGCCCCTTCAGGTGTGAGGATGATATGTGTGTCGTTCCAGCTGTGTTTACCAACCCGAATGCCTCTCTCGAAGGTGTCACTGGCTTTGTACTTTGTCATCCTCTTGAACATCACCGTCACCGTCTCTCCATATACTGCCATTTTGCCTCGGTACGCATGCCCTGTTGCAAGTTCATAACTTGTTTTTCCTATCTTTTCCAGAACGCGAAATCTGTTGAGCAGAAACGATGCGTACCCGAACGACCAAGGGTACATGTGCAGAGTGCCCATGATCTTGATGAAACCTTTTCCTTCGGCATATGACCTGATGCAATTGACCACCTTTCTAATAGTTTGCACTGCACGTTCAACTTGGCCGTTGGAGGCATGTTGACCGCTGCCTGTCAGTCTAATCTCACCTCGGAGGCCCATCACTGCTCTCACCTGTTGCGCTGACTCATCGACCTCTCTGAATCGCCCTGAAAGATGCATGGGTCCCTTGAGCTGTTCTCGAAGGAGAAACGAATCACCTCCACCGTGATCGTTTTCAGACTAGTTGTTCCCTTTGAGGGCACGGGAAACACATGCACCGCCTTCGTCTCCGATGAGGTCATCACTAAACAGGTGCCATTGGTCTGAGCGCTCTGCAACTTTATCCACTGGTGCCTCATCCATCCTCCTCTCTTCTCCAGTGTAGGTGAAGCAGAAGTCCAGTTGAATGAGATTTCTTCCCGGATTGTTCCTTCTCTTCTCGAGCAATGCGCTTATCCTCCTCTGCTCGAACACAAGCCTGGCACCATGGAGCGCACGGGATGTGGGTGACAAAGTGCGCCTCCTGATCCTTTCTCGAGGGCAACTTCGGCTGTCCCAGGGTCAGTGGCCTCCTCTGCTGCTCTTCGTACAGCTTGTTGGCGACACTGAGCTTCATCTGGTTCTCCAGGTTGATGCGGAAGGCCATCAGCCAATGTCACCAGACATGAGGCCCGCTCATCTTCATTGGCCCGCACCATCTGGATCATCTTCTCTTGTCGATCATCCTGAAGGTCCATGGCCACAACAGAAAATGCCGTCAGGGACTAGCACAACTGGTTCGATGCACTCCATGAACTCTTCATCTTCCTTCAACTCCTCTCGCATGTCCTTGAACTCGTCCTCCATGAGTTCGAACTGCATCATCCCCACTCTCCATGGGGGCACTGGTGCCTCACCTGACTCTCTGGGCGTCGTCAAATCGAAGATCTCCAGCGACCTTGACTCTGGGGGTGTTTCTAAGCGCACCATCTTCACGCTGGATGTGGTGACTGTCAGTCCTCCTTGTCCTGATGCTGAGCTTGCTCCACCGGGGTTTGCTCCAGCAGGCGGTTGCTCCACTTGGCTCATGTGGGCACGCTTTGGTGCCCAGTTGCTCTGAGATTGTTTCCCCTTCTGCAAATTGATTTCTTGACAACTGAGTCAATAAGGCCAGGGATCTTGCATGTGTGGCTGGCTGCATCTCTTTCAGCAACCTCTGCCAAGCTTCAAAGCCGTTCTCGGCCCTGATGTGCCGCACAAACTTCAAAGGGCGGTTCCTGAGGTAGGACGCGAGCACGGCATAGAGCCGCCTTGGTCTCGTCCGTCATGTCCTCGAAGGTGAAGTCTCCTGCCAAGTTGCCCTCTCCCGTGGAGCGCTTGGCAACACATCAAAAGAAAGCGGCACGCGCGGGGGA